CTGCCCAGGGCCTTGGTGAGGGCCTCCCTGGCGGCGGCCTTCTTGGCAGGGTCGGCCGCGGCCGCGTTGGCCGCGTTCATCTCAGACACCACGCTGCGCGGCGCCGACACGGCAAAGCCGCCGGTGAGCGCCTGGGCTGGGCCGATGGCGACGCGCGCCTGGCCACCGTTGCTGGTGCGCGACACGGCGCCCAGAGCCATGGCATTGGCGATGGCCTGGCCGGGGTTCTTGGGCGAGTCGGCCTTGGCGCGGGCGGTGGCATCAGCAATGGCGCCGGTGGCAATGCCCAGGGCTGTGGCGGTGGAGTCACAGTCAGCGCAGCCAGTGGCGGCGGCGGCATCGGCGTTGGCCTCGCCGTGGAAGCCACCAAAGCCAAACGCCTCGGCGGTGGCGTCAACGTCGCCGGTCTGGGATGCGGCAGTCGACTTGGCGCTGGCCACCGAGTTGATGCCGGCAAACGAGTACGAGCCGGCCAGGGACTCAGCGTTGCCGTCCGAGGTCTGGGCGCTGGACGAAACTTTGGACTGCGCCTGGATGGCACCGCCGGCACCGGCCACAGAGATGGAGCCCACGGAGCCCACCTCAGTGGCACCAGAAGAGGCGGAGTTGGCCTTGCCCTGCAGGCCACCGACAGCAATGGCGCCCGAGGCGGAGCCAACGTTGCCGGCGGCAGAGGCAGCGGAGGAGGCAGAGTCGGCCTCAGCGTCGGCAGCGAAGGATGCGGCGCCGGAGGCAGAGAGGGCGGCGCCGTTGGTGGTGGTGGCGGACGAGGTGGACACCGCCTCAGCCGTGACGGTGGATGCAGAGATGGCTGTGGCGGCCGACAGGGCGTGGCCGTCCTTGGTGGTGGCAGTGGAGGCGGCCTGGGACTCGGTGGTGATCACACCCAGGGACTGGGAGTTGGCGGTGGAGGCGGCCTGGCCCGTCACGGTGGTGGCGGATGACGAGGAGGTGGACACGTCGATCTCTCCGAGGATGGAGTTGGCCAGCGCGTACGACAGCGCAGAGCCAATGTTGGAGCGCGCGCTGGCGGCCAGGGTGTTGACAGCCTGCTCCTGCGACTGCGACAGGCCGACAAGGGCGGCGACGGCGTTGTACTCGGACGTGGACGAGGTGACCGACAGATCGTTGGAGACGGTGCCCCAGCCGTTGGAGACGGTGAGGGCCCCGCCCAGCGCATCGGCCTGGTCAGACGCGGCCACCACGTTGCCGGTGATCTGGGAGTTGCCGTTGGGGGCCACACCTGGGGGCAGGGGGCGCGGGGGTGAAGGCAGGGCGCATTGGAGGGTCAAGGGCAGCACCGGGGTTTTTGGCAAGGGGCATGACGCTTGCTCACCAGACAGCACAGAGTGGTGAATGTGGCCCGAATAGCGGGCACCCTGAATTGCATATTGACACAGCTGTTTGGGTGCATGTGGCTATCCTGCTGTGGGCAGTCCAGGGCCTGCCTAGCTGGGGCTTTGCAGATACACCATGTCCCCAGGGGAACGGAGGGGCACCGCCGCAGCAGCAGCTGGCAGCGCTGTGGCAGCTCATCTCCTGCCCATTGCTCCTCCCCTCCACCCCCATTGGACCACTCACCCAAGTTGAACATGCCAGCCTGGGCTGAGCCGCGCCCGCGAACCTTGGACGTCACCTCGTTCTGGGTAGCGTCGGAGTTGTCGTAATCACCGATCAGGACATCGTTGTTGTTGGAGATACCGATGTTGATGGCACCCGCGGTAGAGGTACCAACGGCCGCGGCGGCATCGGTGTTGTCGTTGACAATCACCACCTTGTTGGTCTCGGCCACGTCAACGGCCATGGAGCCGACCACGGTCGCGCCCACGTCAATGCGGCCCTGAGTGGCGACCTCGTTGTAGATGATGTTGCCGCCGTTGCCGCCGTCGTTGACATCGTTCACGGGCGCGCCCAGCAGGCGCCTTCCGACGCCGTCGAAGAAGGTGGGCTGGACGCCGTTGGACTTGGCGATGGCGAGGGTGCCGGCGATGGCGGTGCCGAGATCAGCACGGGCGCGGGTGTCGGAGATCATGTCAACGTGGCCACCGCGGCCATAGGCCTGGCTGCCGGCAAACGCGGCGCCGGGGGACGCGTACCACTTGGCCGAGTTTGCGCGCACGTCCATGCCGACGGCAGCAGCCTTGGCGGAATCAGCACGGCCGTAGCCGGTGGCGACGGTGATGCCCGTGCCGCCGGTGGCGCGGCTGGAGGACAAGACAACGGCGTTTCCGGCGGTGAGCACATCGCCACCGCTGATCGCAGTGCCATCAGACTTGGAGATCAAGGTGCCAAACGTGGGGGCGGGCTTGCCGTTGGCGCGCGCAACGGCGAGCACGACCACATCGCTGGCGGTGATGCGCTGGCCGTCATTGAAGATGAGGTCGCCGCCGCCGTTCTCGCCGTAGGCGGTGGCGTAGGCCTTGGCGGGCGCAAATTTGCTCAGGGCAGTGGCGGAGGAGCGGACGGCGACCTGGTTGCCACCGTCGGGGGCAATGCCGATGGCCTGGGTGGTGACGATGGGCTCCACCTTCCAGCCGCTCTTGCCCCATGCACGATCAGCCTTGCGTGGGTTGGCAACGTTGCCCACAACGTCCACAAACACGTTGCCGTAGCCGGGGGTGGGGAGCTCGTACGTGGGGGTGTCCTCAAACAGAGACTGGGTCAGCTTGACCTTGGTGGCACCTGGGCGGGGGAGTGAAAGCAGAAGGGGGGGGGGGTTAAGGGGTGGTAGGGGCCAAATTGTGCGCCAGGGTTCAGGGTTGAGGCTGCGGTGCTGAGGCATACGGCTGGTTCTGACCGCCCCTTCCGAGCCGCCTTCTGCATGCGTACTGCCTGGGCTGCCGTCCCAAGGCGTGCCCCTGTTGTGCTTTGTTGTCAGCTGCGGGAGCCCTCCGTGTGGCGGCGCAGTCCTGCCGCCCATGCATGTTGCTGCTGCGGTCAATCACCGCGCTGCAGCGGCTGCAGCGCGTTCGATCTAAGACTAGCGCCAGCTGCTGCAGCAGGCGCAAGGTGGTGCGCTTGCGGGCTACCTGGCTGCTCGCTGGGGCTTCCAAAACCCCCCGCAATACAGGTGGCTCAGTCTGCAATTCCTGGCCTGCACGCCTGCCCATGTCCGTGCCGCCACACCAGACTCACGCACCGGCAGTCGCCAGCAGCGCCAGCCCCACCAGGGCCAGCGGCAGCAGGGTGCGCGCCTTCATGATGGCGACGCCTCCGCAGGCCTGCAGCTGCAGCGGCAGCGGTGGCGAAGCGAGGGCAGGGGCTGGCTCAGCACTCTCACTGACCACGTTGCCGTCTTAACAGGCGCGTCGATGCGACTGCAACCCCCGCCTGTGGTCCGCGGCCCCACCTGTTTGTGGTAGCGTCCGTGGCGCGTTGCGGCAGCGCTCACAATAAGAGGCCCACAGCTGGCGGGCCGTATTACAGCAACGTAGGGATGAAGCGAGCCGATAGGGGGGACGGGGACTTGTGCGGGGCCGCGGTTGCCCCGCGTCAAGGCCGTGAGTAAGCGGTTACGTCCATCTGCTGAGGCATGCCCCACCACCGTCGGTCGTGTAGCGTTTGATTGTGCCTGTGATGCGATCCGAACACAGTTGCACGCGGTGCAGAGTCGTATCACGCCCCGTTGCAAGCGCAGCAGGGGCCGCCCAGCACGCGACAACAGCCCGGTTTTCCCCGGCTCTTCGGAGCCCCAGTCCCGCGCAAATATGCGGCCCATCGTGGCCCTGGTGCTGCTGCTGGGCATCAGCTCGGCGTGCGCAGCCGGTGAGCGCGGGGTGGACGAGGCAGCGCTGCGCTGTGGCGTGCAGTAGCGATGGCAGGACAGCCTGGGATTCGAAAGCGGGCCTGTGTGGGGGATTCATGCCCTAGCAAGAGGGGGGGGTGGGGGTAACACTGTGCTGGGGTGTGAATGCGGTTGCCAAGGGCGCTGCAGCTGGGCGGGGGACACGGCGCGCAGTGCCCGGATGGCAAGCGGACCACAGCGCAGCAGCCAGTCCAATTGCAGCGGACGGCGAGTGAGGGGTCCAGGGTGCCAGGCTGCCTCAAGGGCAGTGGCGCTGCTGGTAGCTTCAGTCTCATCCCTGCCGCTCGCTCCAGCTTTGTGGCCTAGGGCATGACCTGATTGCGACCCGCCCGCCAACCCCAACCCCCCCACCCGCGACCCTCCATGAAACCCACAGGCTTCACTGGCGTGCGCAAAAAGACTGACGGCGTGAACTGCCGCGTGCCCATCAACCAGCTGGCCTGCCGCCTGGACGCCAACAACAACGTGCAGGCGCTCTTCTACGGGGGCTGGGGCCGCAACGCCGCGGCCACTGCCCTGGGCACGGGCACCTACCTCCGTGGCCCCGCCAACGGCCCTGGCAACTCAGTCTACTGGTACACCAACTACTGGTGCAACCCTTGGGGCTTCCTGCAGCGCTGCGCCGCCATCGGGTCCTCTGTGCTGGCGCCCGCCCCCGCCGGTGGTGATATCACCGCGGTGCGCCAGGTCCCCGCCGTCAACCCCGTCGTGCCTTTCCCTGACAACGGTGTCAACGGCGCCATCCCCGTCATCGAGTACGTGACCGGCATGCGCGTGTGCTACACCAGCGGCTACAAGAGCAGCCCTATCGCGCGCATCCAGTGGGACACCCGCAAGTTCGAGGCCACGTGGGTGGAGGACCCCGCCTTTGCGAACCCGCCCTTCCCCCAGGTCACCGCCACGGCCCAGACGCGCACCGTGGAGTGCGGCCGCAGCAACCCCGTCTGCGCCTTCGAGGAGGAGTTCGTGGCGCCGGCCAACCAGGTGCTGGGTGGCATCTACGCCAAGTGCAAGTTCTCCCAGGGCTTCGCCAAGTGGTTCAGCAATGGCCTGTTCAAGCCCCGCTACTGGATGGAGAAAATCAAGAAGGCCTGCGCCACCCAGCGTGAGCGACGGCGCTGTTTGTGGACCGTTCAGGGCCTGGGCCAGGGAAGGATGTGTGCGGCGCCTGAATTGGGGTGGGAGCGCGTGCGCCGCAATAGACAGACAGCCCCGTGCCTCTTCGCTGCAGACCGCAGGCTGGCCCTTGCCGCAATCCAACACCCGCCCCTTACCCTTCATCTGCCCCATCCCCCTCCCCTCCATGGCGCCCCCACGTGCAGCCATGCCGTACCCCAACGGCCGCTTCCTGGTCGCCGACCCGGCCACGTGCCCCCTGCCCACCGGCCCCAACACCGCCGGCTGCACCTGCGCGCTGCCCAGTTGCCCGGCGGC